ACCTAAAGGACTCAGACCATGAGAAACAAGATTCTCTGGTCTGATGAAACCAAGATTGAACTCTTTGGCCTTAATGCCAAGCGTCACGTCTGGAGGAAACCTGGCACCATCCCTATGGTGAAGCATGGTGGTGGCAGAATCATGCTGTGCGGAAGTTTTTCAGCAGAAGGGACTGGGAGACTAGTCAGGATCGAGGGAAAGATGAATGGAGCAAAGTACAGAGAGATCCTTGATGAAAACCTGTTCCAGAGCGCTCAGGACCTCAGACTAGGGTCGAAGGTTCACCTTCCAACAGGACATCGACCCTAAGCACACAGCCAAGGCTTCAGGACAAGTCTCTGAGTGTACTTGAGTGGCCCAGCCAGAGCCCGGACTTGAACCCGATCTAACATCTCTGGAGAGACCTGAAAATAGCTGTGCAGCGACGCTCCCCATCCAACCTGACAGAGCTTGAGAGGATCTGCAGGATCCCCGAATACAGGTGTGCCAAGCTTGTAGCGTCATACCCAACAAGACTCGAGGCTGTAATTGCTGCCAAAGGTGCTTCAACAAAGTACTGAGTCAAGGGTCTGAATACTTACGTAAATGTGATATTTCAGTTTACATTTTTTTTATAACTTTGCTCAAATTTCTAAAAAAAACTGTTTTTGCTTTGTCATTATGGGGTATTGTGTGTAGATTGATGAGGGGAACAAACAATTTAATCCATTTTAGAATAAGGCTGTAACGTAACAAAATGTGGAAAAAGTCAAGGGTTCTGAATTCTTTTCGAATGCACTGTATATGCAGATGATATAGTCATATATTCATACTAACTGTAAGTCACTCTGGATAAGAGCGTCTGCTAAATGACTAAAATGTCAATGTAATGTGCTCCTTCTCTGGTTCAGGCTGTTGAAGAGCTCCAGACTGCTTTTCAGTCCACTGCAGGCCTCCCTTTATGGTCTCAAACTGGTCTTGAATGTACAGCAAACTAAATTCATGACCTTTACCAGAGCTCCCACTCAGCCAGAGAAGGTTAGCATTGTCACATCTGGTGGCTTATCCATTGAAAAAAGTGTCATCCTACAAATACCTAGGTAAATGGTTGGATGACAAGTTGTCCTTTAAAGTTCATATTGATAATCTTGTGAGGAAGCTTACATTGAAATGGGGTTTTTATTTTCATAATAAGGCTTGCTTCCTGCTTATGGCCAGACAGAAGCTTATTCAGGCCACTTTCCTCTCTGTAATTGATTATGGTGACTTGTTGTCTATGCATGCAGCCTCCTCTGTCTTACACAGACTGGACTCTGTTTATCATGCATCCTTGTCCTTTATTACAAATGCCAAGTCACTCACCCACCGTTGCACCTTGTACCAAATGGTGGGTTGGACCTCACTTTATTGGTATGTGTACATCTACAAAGCCCTTTTGGGTAAACTCCCTCTTTACCTCGGTAGTCTGGTCTCCTTCACCACCAGCGGTTACCAGACCCGGTCTGCTAGGTGGTTGCTACTGTAGTCTGGTGTCCTTCACCACCAGCGGTTACCAGACCCGGTCTGCTAGGTGGTTGCTACTGTAGTCTGGTGTCCTTCACCACCAGCGGTTACCAGACCCGGTCTGCTAGGTGGTTGCTACTGTAGTCTGGTCTCCTTCACCACCAGCGGTTACCAGACCCGGTCTGCTAGGTGGTTGCTACTGTAGTCTGGTGTCCTTCACCACCAGCGGTTACCAGACCCGGTCTGCTAGGTGGTTGCTACTGTAGTCTGGTCTCCTTCACCACCAGCGGTTACCAGACCCGGTCTGCTAGGTGGTTGCTACTGTAGTCTGGTCTCCTTCACCACCAGCAGGTACCAGACCCGGTCTGCTAGGTGGTTGCTACTGTAGTCTGGTCTCCTTCACCACCAGCAGGTACCAGACCCGGTCTGCTAGGTGGTTGCTACTGTAGTCTGGTCTCCTTCACCACCATCGGTTACCAGACCCGGTCTGCTAGATGGTGAAGGAGACCAGACTACAGTAGCAACCACCTAGCAGACCTTATTATGAAAATAAAAACCCAATTTCAATGTAAGCTTCCTCACAAGATTATCCATATGAATTTTAAAGGACAACTTGTCATCCAACCATTTACCTAGGTTTTGTAGGATGACACTTTTTCAATGGATAAGCCACCAGATGTGACAATGCTTTTTCAAGGGAGACCTGGCCAAGAAGGCAGCAACAATCAATCCATTACAAATAAAACATACAACAATAGAATACAATTCAACAACATGATCCAGCCTAAAAAAAAGCATTTACACTCCTCCTTACAGTAGCAACCACCTAACAGACGATAGAGATGAACGATAAACCATATGAGTACCAACCCCACCAAGACTTATGCTTCATCACACTGACATTACAGTTAATAAACTATCTGTCTGACTCATGATGTGACATTACAGTTAATAAACTATCTGTCTGACTCATGATGTGACATTACAGTTAATAAACTATCTGTCTGACTCATGTGACATTACAGTTAATAAACTATCTGTCTGACTCATGATGTGACATTACAGTTAATAAACTATCTGTCTGACTCATGATGTGACATACAGTAATAACTATCTGTCTGACTCATGATGTGACATTACAGTTAATAAACTATATGTCTGACTCATGATGTGACATTACAGTTAATGAACTATCTGTCTGACTCATGATGTGACATTACAGTTAATAAACTATCTGTCTGACTCATGATGTGACATTACAGTTAATAAACTATATGTCTGACTCATGATGTGACATTACAGTTAATAAACTATCTGTCTGACTCATGATGTGACATTACAGTTAATAAACTATCTGTCTGACTCATGATGTTACATTTGTTATGTTATTTATTTTGCTCTTTTGCACCCCAGTATCTCTATTTGCACATAATCTCTTGCACATCTAGCATTCCAGTGTTAATACTATTGTAATTATTTTGCACTATAGCCTATTTATTGCCTTAACTCCATAACTTGCTACATTTGCACACACTGTATATATATTTTCTGTTGTATTTTTGACTTTATGTTTTTTTACCCCATATGTAACTCTGTGTTGTTTTTATCGCACTGCTTGCTTTATCTTGGCCAGGTCGCAGTTGTAAATGAGAACTTGTTCTCAACTGGCATTACCTGGTTAAATAAAGGTTAAATAAAAAAATAAAAATAAACATTACAGTTAATAAACTATATGTCTGACTCATGATGTGACATTACAGTTAATAAACTATCTGTCTGACTCATGATGTGACATTACAGTTAATAAACTATCTGTCTGACTCATGATGTGACATTACAGTTAATAAACTATCTGTCTGACTCATGATGTGACATTACAGTTAATAAACTATCTGTCTGACTCATGATGTGACATTACAGTTAATAAAACTATCTGTCTGACTCATGATGTGACATTACAGTTAATAAACTATCTGTCTGACTCATGATGTGACATTACAGTTAATAAACTATCTGTCTGACTCATGATGTGGACATTACAGTTAATAAACTATCTGTCTGACTCATGATGTGACATTATAGTTAATAAATATCTGTCTGACTCATGATGTGACATTACAGTTAATAAACTATCTGTCTGACTCATGATGTGACATTACAGTTAATAAACTATCTGTCTGACTCATGATGTGACATTATCAGTTAATAAACTATCTGTCTGACTCATGATGTGACATTAACAGTTAATAAACTATACTGTCTGACTCATGATGTGACATTACAGTTAATAAACTAATCTGTCTGACTCATGATGTGACATTACAGTTTAATAAAACTATCTGTCTGACTCATGATGTGACATTACAGTTAATAAACTATCTGTCTGACTCATGATGTGACATTACAGTTATTAAACTATATGTCTGACTCATGATGTGACATTACAGTTAATAAACTATCTGTCTGACTCATGATGTGACATTACAGTTAATAAACTATCTGTCTGACTCATGATGTGACATTACAGTTAATAAACTATCTGTCTGACTCATTTCCTCAACAGGTTGATAGGTATACTGTGATAGGTCAGCCAGAAATATAACAAGAGGACTCCAACTTCATTATGTGCGATATTTTGATTTGGAACGACATCAAAACCTTCCCAGCACCTCCCTTCATGTAACAGGAAGCAGTGATACAAGGGAAACAATAACAGAAGGGTTCTATAGATACACGGAAAACATGTGTTTAATATGGACTGACATACTGGGAATAACACCATGGAGTCATATGAGATTAACACCATGGAGTCATATGAGATTAACACCATGGAGTCATATGAGATTTCTGAAACACATGAAGGAGGCTTTCACCACAATACAGATACAGAGGCATTCAAGACAGTCAAGGCCACAGTATAAAGAAGCATGGCTTCACAGCATGGCTTCACAGCATGGCTTCACAGCATGGCTTCACAGCATGGCTTCACAGTTGGAGCCAGGTGGTAGAGACAGGATAGAGGCTAGAGAGATTGGAGAAAGATAAATGACTCCATGAAGTCTGCTAAATGACTAAAATGTAAATGTAAAGATGTTTTGTTAAATCCTTTTCACACAGTTTAGTGTGAGTTTAGTGTGAGTGATTTCCTAATATCTGAGACAGAGAGAGGGAGGGAGGGAGGAGGAGAGACCCGAGGGATGGAAGATCAGCTCAGACAATCATAGGAAGGTGCCAGATGAGATTTGGTGATGCGTCCCAAAAAGTAACCTATTCCCTATTCAGTGCACTACTTTTGACCAGAGCCAATATATGGGAAAAAAAGGCAATAGGGTGCCATTTGGGACGCAGCTTGGTGATATCAGAGAGAGGAGCCTGTCTGCTATACCCTGTCCTACTGTCTGTCTGAACGAATGAGAGCGTTGACTGTTTGATAACATCAAAGGTAACGCTCCAACAGAACTCATGCAGGCCTGGGAATCTTGATTAGGATTATTTAGTTTTGTGTTGATTTTATGGTCTTAGTCCTGTATAAACTAGAAAACATAGAAGGAAACTGTGCTCTCACACTACTGCTTTAACTCATATTGAGAATGAGAACTGACGACAGCAGCAGTTGGATGTGTGCCAGACAGCCTTGCTCTGTGTCTGTAATGGCAACCCTACTTCATATATAGTGCAATACTTTTGACCAGAGCCCTATGTGGGATGGTCAAAAGTATTGCACAACATAGGGAATAGGGTGTCATTACAGACACAGACATGGTCTTGTTTGTTGGTGTTTGTAGAGCACTTACTAAACAGTGGGCTGTGGCACCATCATAAAACCCTACCATCATACAACCCTACCATCATACAACCTCCATCATACACCTCTACATGCAGACAGCACGACCAGCAAAGCAGCCAGACCAAGCGAGACAACCAACCAGCAACAGGCCCGACCAGCATACAGCGACTATCCAAGCAGAAAGCCCGACCAGGCCTTACATCAACATCACTACCATCATACATCCCTACCATCATACATCCCTACCATCATACATCACTACCATCATACATCACTACCATCATATATCACTACCATCATACATCACTACCATCATACATCACTACCATCATGTATCACTACCATCATACATCACTACCATAATACATCCCTACTATCATACATCGCCTACCATCATATATCACTACCACCATACACCCGACCAGCAATACATCACTACCATCAGACAGCACTACCATCAACATCACGACCATCAATTCACTACCATCATACATCACTAACCATAATAATCCCTACCATCATACATCGCCTACCAGCATACAACCCTACCATCATACATCCCTACCATCATACAGCACTACCATCATACATCACGACCATCAACAACCCTACCATCAACATCCCTACCATCATACAGCACTAACCAGTCATATCCCTACCATCATACATCCCTACCATCATACATCACTACCATCATACATCACTACCATCATATATCACTACCATCATACATCACTACCATAATACATCCCTACCATCATACATCGCCTACCATCATACATCCCTACCATCATACATCCCTACCATCATACATCGCCTACCATCATACATCCCTACCATCATACATCCCTACCATCATACATCGTCTACCATCATACATCCCTACCGTCATACATCCCTACCATCATACATCCCTACCATCATACATCACTACCATCATATATCACTACCATCATACATCACTACCATCATACATCCCTACCATCATACATCGTCTACCATCATACATCCCTACCGTCATACATCCCTACCATCATACATCCATACCATCATACATCACTACCATCATACATCCCTACCATCATACCTCCATACGATCATACATCCCTACCATCATACATCCCTACCATGATACCTCCATATGATTATACATCACTACCATCATACATCCCTACCATCATACCTCCATACGATCATACATCCATACCATCATACATCCCTACCATCATACATCACTACCATCATACATCCCTACCATCATACATCACTACCATCAGGTAGCTTAGTGGTTAAGAGCGTTGTGCCAGTAACCGAAAGGTCGCTGGTTCTAATCCCTGAGCCTACTAGGTGAAAAATCTGTCGATGTGCCCTTGAGCAAGGCACTTAACCCTAATTGCTCCTGTAAGTCGCTCTGGATAAGAGCGTCTGCTAAATGACTAAAAAAAAAATATATATATATATATATATATATTACATCCCTACCATCATACATCCCTACCATCATACATCCCTATCCTCATGTATCACTACCATCATACATCACTACCATAATACATCCCTACCATCATACATAATTTACATTTACATTTTAATCATTTAGCAGACGCTCTTATCCAGAGCGACTTACAGTTAGTGAATACATATTTTTATTATTTTTTTTATACTGGCCCCCCGTGGGAATCGAACCCACAACCCTGGCATTGCAAACGCCATGCTCTATCAACTGAGCAACATCCCTGCCGGCCATTCCCTCCCCTACCCTGGACGACGCTGGGCCAATTGTGCGCCGCCCATGAGTCTCCTGGTCGCGGCCGGCTGCGACAGAGTCTGGATCATACCATCATACATCACTACCATCATACATCACTACCATCATATATCAATACCATCATACATCACTACCATAATACATCCCTACCATCATACATCGCCTACCATCATACAACTCTACCATCATACAACCCTACCATCATACATCCCTACCATCATACATCACTACCATCATGTATCACTACCATCATACATCACTACCATAATACATCGCTACCATCATACATCCCTACCATCATACATCACTACCATCATATATCACTACCATCATACATCACTACCATCATACATCCCTACCATCATACATCGCCTACCATCATATATCACTACCATCATACATCACTACCGTCATATATCACTACCATCATGTATCACTACCATCATACATCACTACCATAATACATCCCTACCATCATACATCGCCTACCATCATACATCCCTACCATCATACATCACTACCATCATGTATCACTACCATCATACATCACTACCATCATATATCACTACCATCATGTATCACTACCATCATACATCACTACCATAATACATCCCTACCATCATACATCGCCTACCATCATACATCCCTACCATCATACAACCCTACCATCATACATCCCTACCATCATACATCACTACCATCATATATCACTACCATCATACATCACTACCATAATACATCCCTACCATCATACATCGCCTACCATCATATATCACTACCATCATACATCCCTACCATCAACATCACTACCATCATACATCACGACCATCAGAGACAACACCATCATACATCACTGACCATAATACATCCCGACATCATACATCGCCTACCATCAACAACCCTACCATCATACAACCCTACCATCAGAAGCCCGTACCAGCATACACCATCAGCATACATCCCACCCTCATACATCACTACCATCATACATCACGACCATCATAATCACTACCATCATACATCACTACCAAATACACCCTACCATCAAACATCCTCTACCATCATACATCCCTACCATCAGACATCCAACCATCATACATCGCCTACCATCATACATCCCTACCAGCATACATCCCTACCACATACATCGTCTACCATCATACATCCCTACCGTCATACATCCCAACCATCATACATCCCTACCATCATACATCACTACCATCATATATCACTACCATCATACATCACTACCATCATACATCAATACCATCATACATCCCTACCATCATACATCACTACCATCATACATCCCTACCATCATACCTCCATACGATCATACATCCCTGACCATCATACATCCTACCACCATACATCCCTACCATCTACATCCCTACCATGATACTCCAATGATTATACATCACTACCATCATACATCCCTACCGCATAACCCCAGACGATCATACATCCAGACCATCAAACATCCCTACCATCATACATCACTACCATCAGACATCCCTACCATCATACCTCCATACGATCATACATCCATACCATCATACATCCCTACCATCATACATCACTACCATCATACATCCCTACCATCATACCTCCATATGATCATACATCCATACCATCATACATCACTACCATCATACATCCATACCATCATACATCCATACCATCATACATACCTACCATCATACATCCCTACCATCATACATCCATACCATCATATACCCCTACCGTCATACATTACTACCATCATACATCCCTACCATCTTACATCTCTACTATCATACATCCCTACTATCATACATCCCTACCATCACACACCCCTACCGTCATACATCCCTGCCATCATACACCCCTACCATCATACATCCCTACCATCATACATCCCTACCATCATACAACCCTACCGTCATACATCCCTACCATCATACATCCCTACCATCATACATCCTACTATCATACATCCCTACCAGCACCACCAGCCCTACTGTCATACATCCCTGCCATCATACACCCCTACCATCATACATTCCTACCATCATACACCCCTACCATCATACATCTCTACCATCATACATCCCTACCAACCCTACTATTCCTACCATTATACATCACTACCATCATACATCCCTACCATCATACATCCCTACCATCATACATCCCTACCATCATACACCCCTACCGTCATACAACCCTACCATCATACATCCCTACCAACCCTACTATTCCTACCAACATACATCACTACCATCATACATCGCTACCATCATACATCCCTACCATCATACATCCCTACATCATACATCCCTACCATCATACATCCCTACCATCATTCAACACCCCTACCATCATACATCCCTACGAGCATACATCCCTACCAGCCCTACCAGCACACCTCCCTACCATTACTACCAGGATACAGCCCTACCAGCCCTACCAGCCCTACCAGCCCTACCCTCCCTACCCTCCCGACCATCCCTACCCTCCCTATCAGCCCTACCATCCCTACCAGCCCTACCAGCCCTACCATCCCTACCAGCCCTACCAGCCCTACCCTACCTACCATCCCTACCAGCCCTACCCTCCCTACCATCCCTACCAGCCCTACCAGCCCTATCAGCCCTACCAGCCCTACCCTCCCTACCAGGCCTTCCAGCCCTACCATCACTACCTGTCCTACCAGCATGCGTCCCTACCAGCCCTACCAGCACACCTCCCTACCATTACTACCAGGATACAGCCCTACCAGCCCTACTAGCCCTACCAGCCCTACCAGCCCTACATCATACATCCCTACCATCATACACTTCTACCGTCATACATCCCTACCATCATACATCACTACCATCCCTACGAGCATACAGTGGGGAGAACAAGTATTTGATACACTGCCGATTTTGCAGGTTTTCCTACTTACAAAGCATGTAGAGGTCTGTAATTTTTTATCATAGGTACACTTCTAAAACAAAAATCCAGAAAATCACATTGTATGATTTTTAAGTAATTAATTTTTATTTTATTGCATGACATAAGTATTTGATCACCTACCAACCAGTAAGAATTCCGGCTTTCACAGACCTGTTAGTTTTTCTTTAAGAAGCCCTCCTGTTCTCCACTCATTACCTGTATTAACTGCACCTGTTTGAACTCGTTACCTGTATAAAAGACACCTGTCCACACACTCAATCAAACAGACTCCAACCTCTCCACAATGGCCAAGACCAGAGAGCTGTGTAAGGACATCAGGGATACAATTGTAGACCTGCACAAGGCTGGGATGGGCTACAGGACAATATGCAAGCAGCTTGGTGAGAAGGCAACAACTGTTGGCGCAATTATTAGAAAATGGAAGAAGTTCAAGATGACGGTCAATCACCCTCGGTCTGGGGCTCCATGCAAGATCTCACCTCGTGGGGCATCAATGATCATGAGGAAGGTGAGGGATCAGCCCAGAACTACACGGCAGGACCTGGTCAATGACCTAAAGAGATCTGGGACCACAGTCTCAAAGAAAACCATTAGTAACACACTATGCCGTCATGGATTAAAATCCTGCAGCGCACGCAAGGTCCCCCTGCTCAAGCCAGCGCATGTCCAGGCCCGTCTGAAGTTTGCCAATGACCATCTGGTTGATCCAGAGGAGGAATGGGAGAAGGTCATGTGGTCTGATGAGACAAAAATAGAGCTTTTTGGTCTAAACTCCACTCGCCGTGTTTGGAGGAAGAAGAAGGATGAGTACAACCCCAAGAACCCCATCCCAACCGTGAAGCATGGAGGTGGAAACATCATTCTTTAGTTATGCTTTTCTGCAAAGGGGACAGGACGACTGCACCGTATTGAGGGGAGGATGGATGGGGCCATGTATCGCGAGATCTTGGCCAACAACCTCCTTCCCTCAGTAAGAGCATTGAAGATGGGTCGTGTCTGGGTCTTCCAGCATGACAACGACCCGAAACACACAGCCAGGGCAACTAAGGAGTGACTCCGTAAGAAGCATCTCAAGGTCCTGGAGTGGCCTAGCCAGTCTCCAGACCTGAACCCAATAGAAAATCTTTGGATGGAGCTGAAAGTCCGTATTGCCCAGCAACAGCCCCGAAACCTGAAGGATCTGGAGAAGGTCTGTATGGAGGAGTGGGCCAAAATCCCTGCTGCAGTGTATGCAAACCTGGTCAAGACCTACAGGAAACGTATGATCTCTGTAATTGCAAACAAAGGTTTCTGTTCCAAATATTAAGTTCTGCTTTTCTGATGTATCAAATACTTATGTCATGCAATAAAATGCAAATTAATTACTTAAAAATCATACAATGTGATTTTCTGGATTTTTGTTTTAGATTCCGTCTCTCACAGTTGAAGTGTACCTATGATAAACATTACAGACCTCTACATGCTTTGTAAGTAGGAAAACCTGCAAAATCGGCAGTGTATCAAATACTTGTACATCCCTACCATCCCTACCATCCCTACCATCCCTACCATCCCTACCATCCCTACCAGCCCTACCATCCCTACCAGCATACCTCCCTACCTATCCTACCAGAACACATCCCTACCAGCCCCTACCAGCCCTACCAGCCCTACCATCCCTACCAGCCCTACCAGCCCTACCAGCCCTACCATCCCTACCATCCCTACCAGCCCTACCAGCCCTACCAGCCCTACCATCCCTACCAGCCCTAACCAGCCCTACCATCCCTACCATCCCTACCAGCCCTACCATCCCTACCATCCCTACCAGCCCTACCAGCCCTACCAGCCCTACCATCCCTACCAGCCCTACCAGCCCTACCAGCCCTACCAGCCCTACCATCCCTACCAGCCCTACCAGCCCTACCATCCCTACCAGCCCTACCAGCCCTACCCAGCCCTACCATCCCTACCATCCCTACCATCCCTACCATCCCTACCACTACCAGCCCTACCATCCCTACCAGCCCTACCAGCCCTACCAGCCCTACCAGCCCTACCAGCCCTACCATCCCTACCAGCCCTACCAGCCCTACCAGCCCTACCAGCCCTACCAGCCCTACCAGCCCTACCATCCCTACCAGCCCTACCAGCCCTACCAGCCCTACCAGCCCTAACATCACACATCCCTATCATCATACATCAAATCCATTCCTACCATCCCTACCATCCCTACCAGCCCTACCAGCCCTACCAGCCCTACCAGCCCTACCAGCCCTACCAGCCCTACCAGCCCCTACCATCCCTACCAGCCCTACCAGCCCTACCAGCCCTAATATCACACATCCCTATCATCATACATCAAATCCATTCCTACCATCCCTACCATCCCTACCAGCATACATCCCTAACATTCCTACCAGGATACAACCCAACCAGCCCTAGCAGCCCTACCAGCAAACACCTCTACCATCACTACCATCCCTACCAGCCCTACCAACCCTACCAGCATACATCCTTACCATCTCTACCATCCATACCAGCCCTACCATCCCTACCAGCCCTACCATCCCTACCAGCCCTACCAGCCGTACCAGCATACATCCAGCCCTACCAGCATACAGCCCTACAATCCCTACCATCCCCACCAGCCTTACCAGCATACAGCCCTACCATTCCTACCAGCCTTGCCAGCCCTACCAGCCCAACAGCCCTACCAGCATACATGCCTACCATCCTTACCAGCCCTACCATCTCTACAATACCTACCATCCCTACCAGCCCTACCATCCCTACCAGCCATACCATCCCTACCAGCCCTACTAGCCCTACCAACCCTACCAGTATACATCCTTACCAGCCCTACCAACCCTATCAGCCCTACCAGTATAAAACCCTACCATCCCAAAAAAGCCCTACCAACCCTGCCAGCATACATCCCTACCATCCCTACCAGCCCTACCAGCCATACAAGCCCTACCATCCCTACAAGCCCTACAAGCCCTACCACCATACATCCCTAGCAGCCCTACCAGCATACATCCCTACCAGCCCCAGCAGCCCTACCAGCCCTACCATCCCTACCAGCCCTACCAGCATACATCCGTAACATCGCTACCAGCCCTACCAGCTATACAGAATACATCCCTACCAGCCCTACCATCCCTACAAGCCCTTCCAGCCCTATCAGCCCTACCAGCCCTACCATCCCTACAAGACCTTCCAGCCCTACCAGCATACATCCTTACTGTCCTTACCAGCCCTACCAACCCTACAAGCTCTACCAGCCCTACCATCATACATCCCTACCGTCCCTACCAGCCCTACCAACCCAACCAGCATACATCCTTACTATCCCTACAAGCCCTACCAACCCTATGTAGCAACAGAAATAAGGTTAATGAAATCAAGATCTTGCTAACATCAGATAACATTAATATATTAGCCATTTCTGAGACTCATTTAGATAATTCATTTGATAATACAGCAGTAGAAATACAAGGATATAGTACATGGTGTTACAGCCCTACCAGCCCTATTACATGGTGTTACAGCCCTACCAGCCCTACCAGCCCTATTATATGGTGTTACAGCCCTACCAGCCCTATTACATGGTGTTACAGCCCTACCAGCCCTATTACATGGTGTTACAGCCCTACCAGCCCTATAACATGGTGTTACAGCCCCTTACCAGCCCTATTACATGGTGTTTACAGCCCCCTACCAGCCCTATTACATGGTGTTACAGCCACTACCAGCCCTATTACATGGTGTTACAGCCCTACCAGCCCTATTACATGGAGTTACAGCCCTACCAGCCCTATTACATGGTGTTACAGCCCTACCAGCCCTATTACATGGTGTTACAGCCACTACCAGCCCTATTACATGGAGTTACAGCCCTACCAGCCCTATTACATGGTGTTACAGCCCTACCAGCCCTATTACATGGTGTTACAGCCCTACCAGCCCTATTACATGGTGTTACAGCCCTACCAGCCCTATTACATGGTGTTACAGCCCTACCAGCCCTACCAGCCCTATTACATGGTGTTACAGCCCTACCAGCCCTATTACATGGTGTTTACAGCCCTACCAGCCCTACCAGCCCTATAACATGGTGTTACAGCCCTACCAGCCCTTATACATGGGTGTTACAGCACCTACCAGCCCTATTACATGGTGTTACGCCCTACAGCCCTATTACATGGTGTTACAGCCCTACCAGCCCTATTACATGGTGTTACAGCCCTACCAGCCCTATTACATGGTGTTACAGTCCTACCAGCCTATTACACTGGTGTTACAGCCCTACCAGCCCTATTACATGGTGTTACAGCAGTACCAGCCCCTATTACATGGAGTTACAGCCTACCAGCCCTATTACATGGTGTTACAGCAGTACCAGCCCTATTACATGGTGTTACAGCCCTACCAGCCCTATTACATGGTGTTCCAACAGCAGCCCTACCAGCCCTATTACATGGTGTTTACAGCCCTACCAGCCCTATTACATGGTGTTACAGCCCTACCAGCCCTATTACATGGTGTTACAGCCCTACCAGCCCTATTACATGGTGTTACAGTCCTACCAGCCCTATTACATGGTGTTACAGCCCTACCAGCCCTATTACATGGTGTTACAGCAGTACCAGCCCTATTACATGGAGTTACAGCCCTACCAGCCCTATTACATGGTGTTACAGCCCTACCAGCCCTATTACATGGTGTTACAGCCCTACCAGCCCTATTACATGGTGTTACAGCCCTACCAGCCCTATTACATGGTGTTATAGCCCTACTTGAAAACATAATGTCATTCCCATTTAATGTCCATAGCTAGACATGGTAACACAGCCCTGTCACTATGCTGTCTCATGGTTATTAGCTGTCCCACCAGCCCTGTCACTATGCTGTCTCATGGTTATTAGCTGTCCCACCAGCCCTGTCACTATGCTGTCTCATGGTTATTAGCTGTCCCACCAGCCCTGTCACTATGCTGTCTCATGGGTTATTAGCTGTCCCACCAGCCCTGTCACTATGCTGTCTCATGGTTATTGGCTGTCCCACCAGCCCTGTCACTATGCTGTCTCATGGTTATTAGCTGTCCCACCAGCCCTGTCACTATGCTGTCTCAGGGTTATTAGCTGAAACCCCTGTCACTATGCTGTCTCAGGGTTATTAGCTGTCCCACCAGCCCTGTCACTATGCTGTCTCAGGGTTATTAGCTGAAACCCCTGTCACTATGCGGTCTCATGGTTATTAGCTGTCCCACCAGCCCTGTCACTATGCTGTCTCAGGGTTATTAGCTGTCCCACCAGCCCTGTCACTATGCTGTCTCAGGGTTATTAGCTGTCCCACCAGCCCTATTATTATGCTGTCTCAGGGTTATTAGCTGTCCCACCAGCCCTGTCATTATGCTGTCTCATGGTTATTAGCTGTCCCACCAGCCCTGTCATTATGCTGTCTCATGGTTATTAGCTGTCCCACCAGCCCTATCATTATGCTGTCTCAGGGTTATTAGCTGTCCCACCAGCCCTGTCACTATGCTGTCTCAGGGTTATTAGCTGTCCCACCAGCCCTGTCATTATGCTGTCTCATGGTTATTAGCTGTCCCACCAGCCCTATCATTATGCTGTCTCAGGGTTATTAGCTGTCCCACGACTCCAGGACAGCGGAGTCACTGACCACCTTCCGGAGACACTTGAAACCCTACCTCTTTAAGCAATACCTGGAATAGTATAATAGTAATCCTTCTACCCCCCCTTTACTACCACTGTCTTATGTCTAAACTAACACCATACTTATTTCACCTGCTAGCACGGACTTGTTTAAAGAAATGTACTTACTGTGATCAAGATATGGTTGTCCCACTGGCTATCCTAAGTTGAATGCACCAATTTGTAAATCGCTCTGGATAAGAGCGTCTGCTAAATGACTTAAATGTAAATGTTATTATGCTGTCTCAGGGTTATTAGCTGTCCCACCAGCCTTGTCACTATGCTGTCTCAGGGTTATTAGCTGTCCCACCAGCCCTGTCATTATGCTGTCTCATGGTTATTAGCTGTCCCACCAGCCCTGTCACTATGCTGTCTCAGGGTTATTAGCTGTCCCACCAGCCCTGTCACTATGCTGTCTCATGGTTATTAGCTGTCCCACCAGCCCTGTCACTATGCTGTCTCAGGGTTATTAGCTGTCCCACCAGCCCTGTCATTATGCTGTCTCAGTGCAAATTGTCCGCGTAGCCATGATTAACTGTTCAGGAGTCTTATGGCTTGGGGGTAGAAGCTGTTGACCTAGACTTGGCACTCCGGTACCGCTTGCCGTGCGGTAGCAGAGAGAACAGTCTATGACTAGGGTGGCTGGTGTCTTTGACAATTTTGAAGGCCTTCCTCTGACACCGCCTGGTATAGAGGTCCTGGATGGCAGGAAGCTTGGCCCCAGTGATGTACTGGCCCGTACGCACTACCCTCTGTAGTGCCTTGCGGTCGGAGGCAGAGCAGTTGCCATACCAGGCGGTGATGCAACCAGTCAGGATGCTCTCGATGGTGCAGCTGTATAACTTTTTGAAGATCTGAGGACCCATGTCAAATGTTTTCAGTCTCCTGTGGGGGAATAGGTTTTGTCGTGCCCTCTTCACGACTGTCTTGGTGTGTTTGGACCATGATAGTTTGTTGGTGATGTGGACACCAAGGAACTTGAAGCTCTCAACCTGTTGCACTACAGCCCCGTCGATGAGAATGGGGACGTGCTCAGTCCTCTTTTTTTTCCTGTAGTCCACAATCATCTCCTTTGTCTTGATCACGTTGAGGGAGAGGTTGTTATCCTGGCACCACACGGCCAGATCTCTGACCTCCTCCCTATAGGCTGTCTCATCGTTGTCGGCAAACTTAATGATGGTGTTGGAGTCGTGCCTGGCCATGCAGTCATGGGTGAACGGGGAGTACAGGAGGGGACTGAGCACGCACCCCTGAGGGGCTCCCGTGTTGAGGATCAGCGTGGCAGATGTGTTGTTACCTACCCTTACCACCTGGGGGCGGCCCGTCAGGAAATCCAGGATCCAGTTGTAGAGGGAGGTGTTTAGTCCCAGGATCCTTAGCTTAGTGATGAGCTTTGAGGGCACTATGGTGTTGAACGCTGAGCTGTAGTCAATGAATAGCATTCTCACGTAGGTGTTCCTTTTGTCCAGGTGGGAAAGGGCAGTGTGGAGTGCAATAGAGATTGCATCATCTGTGGATCTGTTGGGGCAGTATGCAAATTGGAGTGGGTCTAGGGATTCTGGGATAATGGTGTTGATGTGAGCCATGACCAGCCTTTCAAAGCACTTCATGGCTACAGACGTGAGTGCTACAGGTCGGTAGTCATTTAGGCAGGTTATCTTAGTGTCCTTGGGCACAGGGACTGTGGTGGTCTGCTTGAAACATGTTGGTATTACAGACTCAGTCAGGGACATGTTGAAAATGTCAGTGAAGACACTTGCCAGTTGGTCAGCACATGCTCGGAGTACACGTCCTGGTAATCCATCTAGCCCTGCGGCCTTGTGAATGTTGACCTGCTTAAAAGTCTTACTCACATCGGCTACGGAGAGCGTGATCACATTGTCATCCGGAACAGCTGGTGCTCTCATGCATGCTTCAGTATTGCTTGCCTCGAAGCGAGCATAGAAGTGATTTAGCTTGTCTGGTAGGCTTGTGTCACTGGGCAGCTCCCGGCTGTGTTTCCCTTTGTAGTCTGTAATAGTTTTCAAGCCCTGCCACATCCGACGAGCGTCAGAGCCGGTGTAGTACAATTCAATCTTAGTCCTGTATTGACTCTTTGCCTGTTTGATGGTTCGTCGGAGGGCATAGCGGGATTTCTTATAAGCGTCCGTGTTAGAGTCCCGCTCCTTGAAAGCGGCAGCTCTACCCTTTAGCTCAGTGCGGATGTTGCCTGTAATCCATGGCTTCTGGTTGGGCTATGTACGTACGGTCACTGTGGGGACGACGTCATCGATGCACTTATTGATGAAGCCAGTGACTGATGTGGCGTACTCCTCAATCATATGCCTATCTGGGATAAACGTTGTCAATGCATGACATTTAGGCTACATGACTGACTAAGCATAGCCTATGTGACTGACTAGGCATAGGCTATGTGACTGACTAAAGCACTACTATAGTGTTATAACACCTGAAGACAACACTGAAAGGATTTTAAAATGCCACTTCAACATTTCAATTCAAAACAACTTGTGCAAGACACTGTGCAGCTGGACTTTGCCTTCAACATTGTCTACAAGGCCAAAGCTCTGAGAGTAGGCCATGCCATGCTGTTCACAGGGAGAGGAAATAAAGACAGCATCTCCATCTTGTGGTGGGAAGCAGATCAACAGCACTATAGAACGACTGAGATGGCCCATAGGCAAGTCTACTACTATGGGCTAGAAGGCCAGAGTGTAAGCATTCTCTTCAGTGCCTCAGGCTAGCAACCAATTAAGCCTCTACATCTGCATTGCTTACTCTCTGGGGTTTTAGGCTCGGTTTCTGTATAGGCGCTTTGTGACAACTGCTGTTGTAAAAAAGGGCTCTATAAATAAACGCAACGCTAAATGCTTTTTTTGGAACCTGGATGGGATACTAATGGATGGCAGTTTTGCTGAGATGTGTGGTTGCTTAGAAAAAAATCTGACAACCGCTACATTTTCTTTATGCTGGGGACAGACTATGGATTAGATTTGTTCGCAAAAGCCTGTATCACAACTTGTCAATCTAAAGAATAAAGATCAATTTCCTGATTGGAGGTATCAAGTGAGGGATTAAATTGATTACAAAAACTAATACATACGGTAAGTAAGCTTCTAATGCATCTGGTAAATAAGCTTCTGACCGTGGGATGATCTCAACTATATTCTCCTCGCGTCCTCTCGCCCCTCTCCTCGCCTCCTTCTCAAACTCCATTGGATGAGAGAGCTAGAGGTCCCGCCCATCTGACCCTCTCCTTCAATGGGTTTTGAGAAGAAGTAGAGAGTAGAGAGGATGAGGAGGAGGGAACATTAAGATGTTTCCATTGACATTTGCGCATGCTTTATGGATCTGTCACGTGACGAGCGTCCGGTTTAAATTGATAAACACGGAAGTGGGACAGGGCTTCATGAAATGGAAAAACAAGTTCTTACCGCACCGCCTCACAAAGTGTTATGACACAGTCATTAACGATTCTTTTTAACCGTACACAATCTTAGTTTACGCGCTTTCTGCTGTTATCTTGAATTAACCGTAATTATTTATAGTTCTGCTGTAGACTAGTTGAGCACAATGAACAACTGGATTGCTGCTGTGATAACACTATGCATTGTAATGCAGGTGAATGGCGCTTTGGATTTCGAGAAAACGCGCACGGCATATTCTGCAAAGGCGAGTGAAATATCTTTACATTTATTCAAATGTTGTTCAATAACCTACTCTATCAATTCATTATGTATAGTACATTAACATAGACTATTCAATATTATTGCACAGATCTTTGGGTTCTCCTGGGAGAACTGCGGTAAGCCAGACGACCCAGCGATTCTGAAGACCCTAGCCCTGTCCCCGGACCCCATCACAGTTCCAGGGGACCTGACGGCCAGTGCTTCCGGGACCACAACGGTCGAGCTGGCCGCTCCCCTCGCTGTTAGTACTAAGAATGCACCAAGGGTCTCCTCTTCAAATGATGAAATTAGATCTTGAATGCTATTTGATTACCTATGAAGTATACTGATTTATTTAGGTAACTAGCAGTGGTGGGAAAAGTACCCAATTGTCATACTTAAGTAAAAGTAAAGATACCTTAATGGAAAATTACTCAAGTAAAAGTGAAAGTCACCCAGTAAAATACTACTTGAGTAAAAGTCTAAAAGTACTTAGTTTTAAATATACTTAAGTATCAAAAGTAAATGTAATTACTAAAATATGCTTAAGTATCAAAAGTAAAAGTACAAGTATAAATAATTTCAAATTCCTTATATAAAGCAAACCAGACAAAATCATTTTCTTGTTTTATTAATTTACGGATAGCCAAGGGCACGCTCCAACACTCAGACATCATTTACAAACGAAGCATGTGTTTAGTGAGTCTGCCAGATCAGAGGCAGTAGGGATGACCAGGGATGTTCTCTTGATAAGTGTGTGAATTAGGCAATTGTCCTGTCCTGCTAAGCATTCAAAATGTAAAGAGTACTTTTGAGTGTCAGGGAAAATGTATGGAGTAAAAAGTACATAATTTTCTTTAGGAATGTAGTGAAGTAAAAGTAAAAGTTGTCAAAACATTTATATAGTAAAGCAAAGTACAGATACACCAAACAACTACTTAAGTAGTACTTTAAAGTATTTTTACTTAAGGACTTTACACCACTGGTAGCTAGTGAATGTGATTAACCAACCATTCGTTTTTTCGAGGTAGGCATATGGTATTGCACGTCTTTAATATATACATACACTACCAGTCAAAAGTTTGGACACCTACTCATTCAAGGGTTTTTCTTTATTTTTACTATTTTTTATATTGTAGAATAATAGTGAAGACATCAAAACTATGAAATAACACATATGGAATCATGTAGTAAACCAAAAAGTGTTAAACAATTCAAAATATATTTTATATTTGAGATTCTTCAAATAGCCACCTTTTGCCTTGATGACAGCTTTGCACACTCTTGGCATTCTCTCAACCAGCTTCACCTGGAATGCTTTTCCAACAGTCTTGAAGGAGTTCCCACATATGCTGAGTACTTGTTGGCTGCTTTTCCTTTACTCTGCGGTCCAACTCATCCCAAACCATCTCAATTGGGTTGAGGTCGGGGGATTGTGGAGGCCAGGTCATCTGATGCAGCACTCCATCACTCTCCTTCTTGGTAAAATAGCGCTTACACAGCCTGGAGGTGTGTTGGGTCATTGTCCTGTTGAAAAACAAATGATAGTCCCAATAAGCCCAAAACAGATGGGATGGCGTATCACTGCAGAATTCTGTGGTAGCCATGCTGGTAAAGTGTGCCTTGAATTCTAAATAAATCACAGACAGTGTCACCAGCAAAGCACCCCCACACCATAACACCTCCTCCTCCATGCTTTACGATGGGAACTACACATGCGTAGATCATCCATTCACCCACTCCGCGTCTCACATGGACACAGCGGTTGGAACCCAAAATCTCCAATTTGGACTCCAGACCAAAGGACAAATTTCCACCGGTCTAATGTCCATTGCTCGTGTTTCTTGGCCCAAGCAGGTCTCTTCTTCTTATTGGTGTCCTTTAGTAGTGGTTTCTTTGCAGCAATTCGACCATGAAGGCCTGATTCACACAGTCCCCTCTGAACAGTTGATGTTGAGATGTGTATGTTACTTGAACTCTGTGAAGCATTTATTTTGGCTGCAATTTCTGAGACTGGTAACTCTAATGAACTTATCCTCTGTTGTATAGGTAACTCTGGGTCTTCCATTCCTGTGACGGTCCTCATGAGAGTCAGTGTCATCGTAGCGCTTGATGGTTTTTGCGACTGCACTTGAAGAAACTTTAAAAGTTCTTGAAATGTTCCTTATTGACTGACTTAAAGTAATGATGGACTGTCGTTTCTCTTTGCTTATTTGAGCTGTTATTGCCATAATATGGACTTGGTCTTTTACCAAATAGGGCTATCTTCTGTATAACCCCCCCCCTACCTTGTCACAACACAACTGATTGGCTCAAACGCATTAAGAAGGAAATAAATTCCACCAATTAACTTTTAACAAGGCACACCCGTTAATTGATATGCATTCCAGGTGACTACCTCATGAAGCTGGTTGAGAGAATGCCAAGATTGTGCAAAGCTGTCATCAAGGCAAAGGGTGGCTATTTGAAGAATCTCAAATATAAAATATATTTTGATTTGTTTAACAATTTTTTGGTTACTATTAGATTCCATTAGTGTTATTTCATAGTTGTGATGTCTTCACTTTTATTCTACAGTGTAGAAAATAGTAAAAATAAAGAAAAACCCTTGAATGAGTAGGTGTGTCCAAACTTTTGACTGGTACTGTATATATAGAATGAATAGGCTCTTCGTGGATAAAAATGGTCACAGTGAAAACCAGTTATACACACTATAGCCCTACTAAATAAGATACCATCAGTTCTTCCTGAAAAACGTACCAACAGGGAATTGAAAGCTTTTACTTAGTCATATCAGTCTGTAGGCCTATTCAGACATGTGATAGCCTGTTCCACTTTGTCTGTGTGTGTCTATTGTTGGCTCTGGGTGGCTCTGTGTTCTTCTGGGTGGCTCTGTGTTCTTCTGGGGGGCTCTGTGTTCTTCTGGGGGGCTCTGTGTTCTTCTGGGTGGCTCTGTGTTCTTCTGGGGGGCTCTGTGTTCTTCTGGGGGGCTCTGTGTTCTTCTGGGGGGCTCTGTGTTCTTCTGGGTGGCTATGTGTTCTTCTGGGTGGCTCTGTGTTCTTCTGGGTGGCTCTGTGTTCTTCTGGGTGGCTCTGTGTTCTTCTGGGGGGCTCTGTGTTCTTCTGGGTGGCTCTGTGTTCTTCTGGGGGGCTCTGTGTTCTTCTGGGTGGCTCTGTGTTCTTCTGGGGGGCTCTGTGTTCTTCTGGGTGGCTCTGTGTTCTTCTGGGGGGCTCTGTGTTCTTCTGGGTGGCTCTGTGTTCTTCTGGGGGGCTCTGTGTTCTTCTGGGGGGCTCTGTGTTCTTCTGGGGGGCTCTGTGTTCTTCTGGGGGGCTCTGTGTTCTTCTGGGTGGCTCTGTGTTCTTCTGGGGGGCTCTGTGTTCTTCTGGGGGGCTCTGTGTTCTTCTGGGGGGCTCTGTGTACTTCTGGGTGCTTCTGAGTGCCTCTGGGTGCTTCTGAGTGCCTCTGGGTGCTGTGTTGTTAAACAGGTGGAAACTTGCCTGGGGGAGGTTTGTCTGACTCACTGATCCCATGAGCTTCATGTGAGCAGCTCACCACATAAACCCCTGCTTTGCTGCACTGATGGCCCAAATAGATATGAAATGTACAGTAGACTTCCTGATTCAATGCTCACCCTTACAATGCATAGTTCACAAGAGAAGGAATGGCATTGGCAGTGGTGATGGCAATGTTCTGATCAAGAATGCACCAATGTAATATTGTTGCATTTTGAAAGTTCTTGCAACAGACAGCTTTCACGTACTGGACATTCAGTTGTTCCCAACTTGTATTGTTTTAGTTGATGCAATGCAATGCAGAGAAGACTGACTTGACTGTTTTACTGGAAATCAATCACTTAGATCACAGTGTCAGATTATTCCTTTCCTTCCAATTGCTATAGCCTACCCCTAATTCTCTCTAACAATGGTGACATCATTGCAAGGGAAGAATAGAAGAGTTTCTGCTTTGCTGTAAACGACTAGGGTGCAACGTTCAAGTCAACAATAACCTGACATTAGACAGGTTTCTAAAACACCACAGTACTGGTCCTGTTTTCTCCTCTTCAGTAATTTGACCAAGCTTGGCGGTACGTCTGTAAAATACAGTTTTATTGACAGAACCTGTGAATTATATACTTTGTTTTTCATAACATCAAAGTTTACCGGCCCTATTTAGGATGCACATTGGCCAGTCAAACGTTGTACAGTAGTCGAATAACAGCATTTTGTCCATAGGTAGACGTAACCTTGTGCTGGCCTACCTGGTGGATAGGCATACTGTTACTGTAGCCTACTATGTTTTTCCAGACATCCCAGTTAACTGGCCCTATATATTTCTCTCCTCTTAGGTGAACGTGACGCTGGAGAAGGAGGTGGCAGGGTTCTGGGTCAAGGTCCCATGTCTGGAAGAGATAGGGAGCTGCCACTACACAGACGGCTGTGACCTGCTCAACCAGCTGATACCGCCCGGAACGGACTGTCCTGAACCTCTACACACCTACGGCATCCCCTGCCGCTGCCCCTTTAAAGCTGTGAGTCTATACTGTAGTTCATATCCTGCCGCTGTCCCTTTAAAGCTGTGAGTCTATACTGTAGTTCATATCCTGCCACTGCCCCTTTAAAGCTGTGAGTCTATACTGTAGTTCATATCCTGCCGCTGCCCCTTTAAAGCTGTGAGTCTATACTGTAGTTCATATCCTGCCACTCTCCCTTTAAAGCTGTGAGTCTATACTGTAGTTCATATCCTGCCACCTCCCCTTTAAAGCTGTGAGTCTATACTGTAGTTCATATCCTGCCCTGCCCTTAAGTGGATCTATCTGTGTTCAATCCTGCCCTGCCCCTTTAAAGCTGTGAGTCTATACTGTAGTTCATATCCTGCCACTGCCCCTTTAAAGCTGTGAGTCTATACTGTAGTTCATATCCTGCCACTGCCCCTTTAAAGCTGTGAGTCTATACTGTAGTTCATATCCTCCACTCCTTGCGGCACTGCATCGCCCCTTTAAAGCTGTGAGTCTATACTGTAGTTCATATCCTGCCACTGCTCCCTTTAAAGCTGTGAGTCTATACTGTAGTTCATATCCTGCCCTGTCCCTTTAAAGCTGTGAGTCTATACTGTAGTTCATATCCTGCCACTCTCCCTTTAAAGCTGTGAGTCTATACTGTAGTTTCATATCCTGGCCCAATGTCCCTTTTAAAGCTGTGAGTTCTAATACTGTAGTTCATATACCTGCCCCTCGTCCCTTGTAAAGCTGTGGGGGTGGGAGTCTATACTGTAGTTCATATCCTGCCGCTGTCCCTTTAAACGCTTGTGGAGTCTATACTGTTAGTTCATATCCAGTGCCACTCTCCCTTTAAAGCTTGTGAGTCTTTTTTTTAGTTCATATCACTGCCGCTGCCCTTCTAAAGTCCTGAGCCATAACGTAGTTCAGTATCCGCCGCTGTCCTTTAAAGCTTGTGAGTCTATACATGTAGTTCCATATCCTGACCACTGTCCCTTTAAAGCTGTGAGTCTATACTGTAGTTCAAATATCCTGCCACTCCCCTTTAAAGCTGTGAGTCTATACTGGTAGTTCACTATCCTGCCCACTCTCCCTTTAAAGCTGTGAGTCTATACTGTAGTTCATATCCTGCCACTGCCCCTTTAAAGCTGTGAGTTCTATACGTGTTCATATCCGGCCACTGTCCCTTTAAAGCTGTGAGTCTATACTGTAGTTCATATCCTGCCACTGCCCCTTTAAAGCTGTGAGTCTATACTGTAGTTTCATATCCTGCCACTGCCCTTTAAAGCTGTGAGTCTATACTGTAGTTCATATCCTGCCACTGCCCCTTTAAAGCTGTGAGTCTATACTGTAGTTCATATCCTGCCACTGTCCCTTTAAAGCTGTGAGTCTATACTGTAGTTCATATCCTGCCACTGCCCCTTTAAAGCTGTGAGTCTATACTGTAGTTCATATCCTGCCACTCTCCCTTTAAAAGCTGTGAGTCTATACTGTGTTCATATCCTGCCGCTGTCCCTTTAAAGCTGTTAAGTCGATACTGTAGTTCAGATCCTGCCACTGTCCCTTTAAAGCTGGTGAGTCTATACTGTAGTTCATATCCTGCCACTCTCCTTAAAGCTGTGAGTCTAACTGTAGTTCATATCCTGCCACTGTCCCTTTAAAGTCTATACTGTAGTTTCATATCCTGGCCACTGTCCCTTTAAAGCTGTGAGTCTATACTGTAAGTTCATATCCTGCCGCTGTCCCTTTAAAGCTGTGGAGTCTATACTGGTAAGTTTCAGATACCTGCCACTCTCCCTTTAAAGCTGTGAGTCTATACTGGTAGTTTCATACCTGCCGCTGCCCCTTTAAAGCTGTGAGTCTATACTGTAGTTCATATCCTGCCGCTGTCCCTTTAAAGCTGTGAGTCTATACTGTAGTTCATATCCTGCCACTCTCCCTTTAAAGCTGTGAGTCTATACTGTAGTTCATATCCTGCCACTCTCCCTTTAAAGCTGTGAGTCTATACTGTAGTTCATATCCTGCCACTCTCCCTTTAAAGCTGTGAGTCTATACTGTAGTTCATATCCTGCCACTCTCCCTTTAAAGCTGTGAGTCTATACTGTAGTTCATATCCTGCCACTCTCCCTTTAAAGCTGTGAGTCTATACTGTAGTTCATATCCTGCCACTGTCCCTTTAAAGCTGTGAGTCTATACTGTAGTTCATATCCTGCCACTCTCCCTTTAAAGCTGTGAGTCTATACTGTAGTTCATATCCTGCCACTGCCCCTTTAAAGCTGTGAGTCTATACTGTAGTTCATATCCTGCCACTCTCCCTTTAAAGCTGTGAGTCTATACTGTAGTTCATATCCTGCCACTCTCCCTTTAAAGCTGTGAGTCTATACTGTAGTTCTGTCAATGTTCTTCCATTTGGTGCCTTTTGAACACAACCTTTCTACATGGTATGTGATGTAGAAAGTACCTGTTACTCAGTGGTTAACGCTTAGGCTACTTCTCTCTTTCATATCATGTTCAGTGCAATGTAATGAATGTCCGTTGACAGCACTGTGAATGATTGGTAACAGAGTGCTGCTTGTTGTACAGCAGCTAGCCAAACAACAAAGTTCAAAACGTTCTCTGAATGTTCTGAACATTTGCACTTTAGCGTTCTCTTGCTCAGTGCTCATTCTGTTTTTCTCCAGGATACGTTTTTCTGTTTACTCAATGTCTATTGTGTTCAAATGACCTATTTTCTCTCTCCTAAGGGTGCATACCTTTCTATACAGTAAAACATGCTTTACTCAAAGGCTGTATCCCAAAATGGTACTCTATCCCTATATATACTTTGACTAAGATGCACTACCTTTGAATAGAGCCCTATGGGCCTTGGTCAAAAGTAGTGCACTATATAGGGAATAGGGTGCCATTTGGGACACACTATATAGAGAATAGGGTGCCATTTGGGACACAGAGAAAGTGTATTGTTTAAACCTTTATTTCCTGTCTGTTCTAAGGGGGTGTACACACTACCAGAGTCAGATTTCTACCTCCCTGACATTGACCTTCCCTACTGGCTGACCAACGGACACTACAGAGTACAGGGAGTGCTGGGAGCTGTGGGGAAAGAACTGGGCTGCCTCAAAATCACCTTCGCTGTCCACTCTAATAACTAAACGGTGGATAAATGACCTTCTCTATCCACTCTAATTAAATGGTGGATACAGGGAACATAATGTACCATTCAGTGAGCTGGTGTACTGACACGTTGTCTTCTTTATTCTCAAGGGAACTTCTACTGTAGTTTAGGACACGATTCAGGCTCACTTTCAGGTAAAACGGTTAAGTTGCGTGATTTTGCATGGCTTCCCCCTGGCTACCCCCTGGCTACCCCCTGGCAACCCCCTGCTGGCTTCCTACTGTACTGCTATGAACTTGTCATAACCGTGTGATTATTTTTCAGAATGTTTTACGCTGTCTTTTTTAAATTAGATTTATTGTCAAGGGTGAATGGCTGCTTCTATTGCTCATTGGTTTTTACCCTAGGCATGGTACTGGTCACATGACTAGTAGTTTTAGGAGTTTTTATTGTGCCATAGTGGTTTCTGGCTGACGCTTACTGTGTCATAGTTTTTGGTTTCATGGGTCATAATGATGCTACTTGGTGACACTTCTGATTTTACAACACATGGGAATATGTTGTTCTTCCTGTTGATTGTGAAAAAATCTTTTTTTTATATATATATATAAAGGTGTTTTATTGTTGACATGTTCAAAGTGCCTAAATAGATGCTTCTGGAATGGGGGTCTACGAACCAGGTGGGACTGTGTGAAAGGGAAATTGCATGAACACAGACAATCAATTCCCTCCCTCATATGATACCAAAAGGCTAATCCTATTCTATAACCAGTTAAAGTGTTCTAAGAAATATAAGTGCACTTCCTATCATAAAAATAATTATTCGAATGAAATGGTAATCAAGTATAGAAGTCTTTAGGAATCAACACGAAGAATTGCACCTTGATTATTTAGAAATGATATGCTTACTACTGTAACAAATCAGCATGATGCTGGTCAATATTTCACTGTAAAACCATTTTTTCAATAAAATTATATCCAATATGTTGGTAAGTCTTTGTTTTCTGAAATGCAGTAATGTATTGCGCAGTCAGGGTGTCCAGGATTTGAACCTCTTCAGTTTCACAGGATGGCCGCAGGTTGGCATTAGTGGTTAAATGTTAATTACATGACACTTCCTGTATGTACCCTCCCCTCATGTCTATAAACTTCCTGTATGTACCCTCCCCTCATGTCTATAAACTTCCTGTATGTACCCTCCCGTCATGTCTATAAACTTCCTGTATGTACCCACCCCTCATGTCTATAAACTTCCTGTATGTACCCTCCCCTCATGTCTATAAACTTCCTGTATGTACCCTCCCCTCATGTCTATAAACTTCCTGTATGTACCCTCCCCTCATGTCTATAAACTTCCTGTATGTACCCTCCCCTCATGTCTATAAACTTCCTGTATGTACCCTCCCCTCATGTCTGTAAACTTCCTGTATGTACCCTCCCCTCATGTCTATACACTTCCTGTATGTACCCTCCCCTCATGTCTATAAACTTCCTGTATGTACCCTCCCCTCATGTCTATAAACTTCCTGTATGTACCCTCCCCTCATGTCTATAAACTTCCTGTATGTACCCTCCCCTCATGTCTATAAACTTCCTGTATGTACCCTCCCCTCATGTCTATAAACTTCCTGTATGTACCCTCCCCTCATGTCTATAAACTTCCTGTATGTACCCTCCCCTCATGTCTATACACTTCCTGTATGTACCCTCCCCTCATGTCTATAAACTTCCTGTATGTACCCTCCCCTCATGTCTATAAACTTCCTGTATGTACCCTCCCCTCATGTCTATAAACTTCCTGTATGTACCGTCCCCTCATGTCTATAAACTTCCTGTATGTACCCACCCCTCATGTCTATAAACTTCCTGTATGTACCCACCCCTCATGTCTATAAACTTCCTGTATGTACCCTCCCCTCATGTCTATAAACTTCCTGTATGTACCCTCCCCTCATGTCTATAAACTTCCTGTATGTACCCTCCCCTCATGTCTATAAACTTCCTGTATGTACCCACCCCTCATGTCTATAAACATCAGCCAGGGGCACTATAGGCTGTCTCTCAATCTGGTGAGTGGAAATGTAACATACCGGTAGTATTTTATGTCACTTACTTGACACTACGTGGAGGCAATACTAAAACAAAGACTATGATTGAGGAAAGCACTGTGTACATAATGCTACAGTCCTCTGTTGTAGCTAGAGGGAAATATAAAGCACTGTGTACAGTGTACCTCCTACCCTCCTGATGTCTGGTCCTCCTACCCTCCTGATGTCTGACCCTCCTACCCTCCTGATGTCTGGTCCTCCTACCCTCCTGATGTCTGGTCCTCCTACCCTCCTTATGTCTGACCCTCCTACCCTCCTGATGTCGGGTCCTCCTACCCTCCTGATGTCTGGTCCTCCTACCCTCCTGATGTCTGGTCCTCCTACCCTCCTGATGTCTGACCCTCCAACCCTCCTGATGTCGGGTCCTCCTACCCTCCTGATGTCTGACCCTCCTACCCTCCTGATGGCCCTCCTACCCTCCTGATGTCTGACCCTCCTACCCTCCTGATGGCCCTCCTACCCTCCTGATGTCTGACCCTCCTACCCTCCTGATGGCCCTCCTACCCTCCTGATGTCTGACCCTCCTACCCTCCTTATGTCTGACCCTCCTACCCTCCTGATGTCTGACCCTCCTACCCTCCTGATGGCCCTCCTACCCTCCTGATGTCTGACCCTCCTACCCTCCTGATGGCCCTCCTACCCTCCTGATGTCTGACCCTCCTACCCTCCTGATGGCCCTCCTACCCTCCTGATGTCTGACCCTCATACCCTCCTTATGTCTGACCCTCCTACCCTCCTGATGTCTGACCCTCCTACCCTCCTTATGTCTGACCCTCCTACCCTCCTGATGTCTGACCCTCCTACCCTCCTGATGGCCCTCCTACCCTCCTGATGTCTGACCCTCCTACCCTCCTTATGTCTGACCCTCCTACCCTCCTGATGTCTGGTTCTCCTACCCTCCTGATGTCTGACCCTCCTACCCTCCTGATGTCTGACCATCCTACCCTCCTGATGTCTGGTCCTCCTACCCTCCTGATGTCTGGTCCTCCTACCCTCCTGATGTCTGACCCTCCTACCCTCCTGATGTCTGACCCTCCTACCCTCCTTATGTCTGACCCTCCTACCCTCCTGATGTCTGGTTCTCCTACCCTCCTGATGTCTGACCCTCCTACACTCCTGATGGCCCTCCTACCCTCCTGATGTCTGGTCCTCCTACCCTCCTGATGTCTGACCCTCCTACCCTCCTTATGTCTGACCCTCCTACCCTCCTGATGTCTGACCCTCCTACCCTCCTGATGTCTGACCCTCCTACCCTCCTGATGTCTGACCCTCCTACCCTCCTGATGTCTGACCCTCCTACCCTCCTGATGTCTGGTCCTCCTACCCTCCTGATGTCTGGTCCTCCTACCCTCCTGATGTCTGGTCCTCCTACCCTCCTGATGTCTGGTCCTCCTACCCTCCTGATGTCTGACCCTCCTACCCTCCTGATGGCCCTCCAACCCTCCTGAGGGCCCTCCTACCCTGCTGCCCCACGTCCCATGCCTCAGCTTTATGAGGGTTTATTATACCCTAGACCTTTACGCCTCCACAATCACTCTCTGTTTATTCTAGGGCAGGGGCGTGACTTTCCAAATGCCAAGTCCTATAATAATACACTGTACCGCTGATCACTGTGAAGACAATGTGTATTAGGCTACGGTAGACTACTTCTAAAATCCATGCATGATGGATGTTTTACATCTACTTATAAACTCTTATACGTACACTATCGGTCAAAAGTTTTACAACACCTACTCATTCAAGGGTTTTTCTTAATTTTTTACTATTTTCTAAGCAGTAGAATAATAGTGAAGACATCAAAACTATGAAATAGCACATGTGGAATCATGTAGTAACCAAAAAAAAGTGTTAAACAAATCAAAATATATGTTATATTTGAGATTCTTCAAATAGCCACCCTTTGCCTTGATGACAGCTTTGCACACGCTTGGCATTCTCTCAACCAGCTTCATGAGGTAGTCACCTGGAATGCATTTCAATTAACAGGTATGTCTTCTTTAAAGTTAATTTGTGGAATTTCTTTCCTTCTTAAACAGAACAATGACCCAACACACCTCCAGGCTGTGTAAGGGCTATTTTATCAAGAAGGAGAGTGATGGAGTGCTGCATCAGATGACCTCAACCCAATTGAGATGGTTTGGGGCGGCAGGTAGCTTAGTGGGTAAGAGCGTTGTGCCAGTAACCGAAAGGTCGCTGGTTCTAATCCCCGAGCCGACTAGGTGAAAAATCTGTCGGTGTGCCCTTAAGCAAGGCACTTAACCCTAATTGCTCCTGTAAGTCGCTCTGGATAAGAGCGTCTGCTAAATGACTAAAATGTAAATGGATGAAGAGTGAAGTAAAAGCAGCCAACAAGTGCTTAGCATATGTGGGTACTCCTTCAAGACTGTTGGAAAAGCATTCCAGGTGAAGCTAGGTGAGAGAATGCCAAGAGTGTGCAAAGCTGTCATCAAGGCAAAGGGTGTCTATTTGAAGAATCTCAAATATAAAATATATTTTGATTTGTTTAACACTTTTTTTGGTTACTACATGATTCCATATGTGTTATTTCATAGATTTGATGTCTTCACTATTATTCTACAATGTAGAAAATAGTAAAAAATAAAGAAAGACCTTGAATGAGTAGTGTAGGAGAAAGTGTAACTAAATATCCAGCTTGTATAAACAGTTATTGGCTCTTACGTAAAATCCCATATTCACACATACAATGACCTCAATAGTCTTAGCCTACTGTTCATTAAATATTTGGAAGTAGTCCAACCTAATACACATTGTCTTCAAAATGATCAGCACCCTAAGCATATGATTATAGAATTGGTATTAGAAAGTCATGGCTCTATAATCTTAAAAATATGGGACTTGTTTTTTTTTTTTATTTATTTCCACCTTAACTTTGAGAAAGTAATAATTTCCTGTCCTGGTGCCTAGTAAC